AGAGAGAGAGAGAGAGAGAGAGAGAGAGAGAGAGAGAGAGAGAGAGAAAGAGAAAGAGAGAAAGCTATGCGTGATAAGTGCAAACTCATTTAGCTTTTATGGTTATCGACACTTTGAGATCTCGTGTGTATTCCCTCTCCAATTACAGTGCGCAGCCGCTTACTGCCTCGTCTGTCTGGATAATATCAATATCGGAGTGTTTTAATACGGCGACAAACACGGTGTTCTATCGATTTGATGGCGAGCCACCGGTGACCGTGGCTTCCTTGTTTGCTGGCTTCCGGCGCTCTTGTGTGCTTGTGTGTATCTGTGTGCGTGTCTGCGTGTGCGTGCCCGTGCGTGTTTATGTGTATTTCTGCGCGTGTCTGCGTGTGCGTGCGCGTGCGCGTGTGTGTTTGTGCTTGTGTGTATTTCTGTGCGTGTCTGCGTGTGCGTGATCGTGTGTGTTTGTGTGTGTGTGTGTGTGTGTGTGTGTGTGTGTGTGTGTGTGTGTGTGCGTTCGTGCGCGTGTGTGTTTGCGTGTATGTGAGCGTGCGCGCGCGTGTTTGTGTACGTGCATGCGTGCGTGCGAGCGCACGGAAGGCACGCGTGTATACATGGAACAGGCTTGGTATTATCATAGTATTATGTTTACACATGTGGGTCAACTCCTTGCTCACAGCGGGGTTAGGAATTGGGATTCGAATTATGGGTAGAGTTATGTTTAAGGTTACCGTTAGGTTTATGGTTACGGATGTAACGTAGGGGAAATCCATAACCCTAACTCTATAAGTTTAAACCTAAACATACCATAAATCTAATCGTGACTGTGGCATTAAGCGCGCGTAATCTCTCCTGTATTTCCCGCGGGGACTGCTTCACTGCATGACTGACTGAGTGACTGACTGACCGCCGCTATCAACAGGAACAGCTTCTCTCCGCGCTTTACTGTGTAGCAGCGAGGCGCATGCTGCAAGCCTATCCGCCCTTGCTCATCCCCGCAACAATAGGGGAATTGAGCATTCGCGGTGATGATAATGTATGGCTTCAGCTCCCACAGCCTCATTGTGTGTGTGTGTGTGTGTGTGTGTGTGTGTGTGTGTGTGTGTGTGTGTGTGTGTGTGTGTGTGTGTGTGTGTGTGGGTGAGCGAGTGAGTCAGCGAGAGATAGTGAGAGAGGCGGGAGATGAAAA